ATATAAAAAATGGACCTTAAAAAAAGCAAAAGAAAAATAGTCAAAAAAAAAAAAAAATAGTAAAAATATTGATGTGCTATCTTTTGTCGCGGGATGTATGTACATATGTAGGTGTGACGTGTGACCACCACTGCCCTGCCGTGCGCTGTCAAAGAAGGTGTCGACGCACAATTTATGCGAATTCATATACATATCTTAGTTTTGAAACAAATTATTAGAATTGGTTACTTAAGCCCAAAATACAATAACGCAGTGGCAGTGGCAGCGGCAGTTTTTCGAAATCAGCTGTTTTTTAGAAAGTGTGGTGTCCAATGAAGCGACTCACAATACAGCAGTGGCAGCTAGCAGTACTGCTCAGTTTAGCCCAAATTCTAAATTCACTGCCACTGCCTTCATCGCAGCAAACTTCGCATGCTGAATTTGACATAAATGAAACGCAGCCAACATCTGTTGATGTCACTGAAGCCTAAAAGGCAACAACAAAAATGTAAACAAACAAAAGGGAATGTCAAAAAAAGCAGTCACTGACAACGCCGTATTGTGTTTGCTGCGGCATTGACTGCCAATATTAGCAGTAACAGCTGATTTTAAAAACTGTCACTGCCACTGCCACTGCGCTATTGTGTTTTGGCCTTTACTTATACACACTTCTTATGTTTTAAATTGTAGCATCCCATTTTTCGATACTAAGTAAACTGCGCTGAAATATTAAATCTTTTGAGGTAGTTCTCAATTTTATGCAAGGTGTTTTAGACACATAAATTCACATCTTTTAGCTCACAAAACGAATGCCAAGCATATATTCGTATTTCACGGTTTTGCAGCTCAACTTTTCTTTTTTAGGGAAATTTTGTTTTGATTATTCCCGATTGTAGACTGTAATCCACGGATGTTATGTCACACACCCACTTGTGATGTATCTTTATTGCAATTAAATATTATTTAATCTAAACATACATTTGGGATCACTTATTTGCTTTTGTTGTTGTTGTTGTTATTTTTGTTGTTATTTTTTCCAATTGCAGAATTGTATCTTTTTAAGCTAATATTTATTTTTTTTATAACAACTTATTCCCTGACTCACATGCAAAACAAAAAAATCTTATTTAAAATTATACAATTAAAATCGTGTTTAAAATACATAAAATATTTCAACAGCAAAAATAACATAAGTATGTATAGAATATTTAACTTTAACATAGATAAAACAAACCACGCTACCTTTTCGTACTTAAAATGTGTACTTACGAGTGTATTCGTTTATTTACTTACTTACTTACATATGTAATGAAAATATGTATTAAATTTTATGCATATCGCTGAGTTTTTTTTTCTCCTTCTTTTACATCGAAAATATACTCGCATAAATATGATTGTTTGAGATGACAAATGTTTGCATAGATATATGTATGTACGAGTATGCGTGTACTAACCTTAATGGCTAAGCCGAAGCCATTCTATTAAAAATTGCAAAAATACCTGGGAATGAGCATTTTCAGTGACATGGCGATTTTGAGGTAACCAAACTTTAAACGAAATGTAATTTTTACAATTATGAATGGTAAAAAATAGAGGTATTCATTTATTTTTTTTTTGTTTTGTGGACATGGTGGTGCTTTTGATTTGGTGCGCGTGAAAATGGCATTCGATTTTGTTACTATCGGAGGAAAGTTTTCTATTGAATTAGATTTGTATGCATTATTCTACAAATAAGTACTTTTTGAGCCTCATAACTGATTTTGAGGAGTTATTGGTGATGGTGTTATACGTAGGTGTCGGTGGTGGTGGATGGTGAGTTGGTGGTTGTGGTTGTGGTGGTATGTTGTATGTTGGAAAGTGGTATTGCGCATGGTGACTTTTAGTGGTAGAAATGTGATGGCGCATAATTGATACTCGATTGATAAACGATGTATACACTCTCTGTTAAACGAGTACATAGAGAATGTTGCTCTTTTTTTAGTTTGGTCGATGATATTTTTAATGCTTTTCGTTCAAAATAAACCCCAAAAAAAAAAATAAAGCACACAAAACAACGTTTTCTCTTTTTTCATAATTTTTTAAAATTATTTATGTATATATTTATTTCATTTATTTAATATTTATTTAATTTGACATGAATTAGGAAAAAAGGCATTTCAAGTAATAATATACACTTACAAATTTCGTTAATGTTTTTTGTGGTATTGTATGTACTTATAGAATTACGATTTAAAAAAATTAAATATGCTTAAAGAAGTACATATGTATGTAGGTTTATTAACAGACACTAAGGAAACTGAAATTATACTAGAAACATGGTGAATTTCTATGACGAAGTACAATTTTTATGAGCTGCATGAAGTACAAGCGAGTTCGAATGTGGTAGTGAAAGTACATAATTAAGTAGTGTCTACCAAGGTAGGGAAATATAAAATTTTAAACATCGAAGTGGTATGAAAGAAATTTAAACATGCATAAAAAAAAAAAAAAAAAAATAACAAAAAAACGCCAAATGCGCTTTGAAATATTTTGCTTATTTTTTATGAAAGCACCAATAAGTGTAAGGAAATAAAAATTTTAATATTATAAATGGTTGTCTTTTTGCGCATATATTCCCTTCATTGGAAATTGGCATTTTTATAGAAATTGCGAAAAGAAAATCAAAAACGGTACTTAGTTTATATTAACATTATGCACAGATATATAAACGTATCAGTAATATAACGAATTGCACATATTTAAAATGTTTCAGATTTTAACCAATTATTATTAAAGTATAAATAAAACAATAAAATAATTGAATGACACGTTTTTTCCTCTTATTTTAAATATAACTAAGCACGCCCCAATGCATGTTGATGAAAACAATGCAATTTTTACTTTAAAATTTATGTGTCAAAATTAAAAACGTGAAAATTTAAAATTAATTAAAATGTGCTATTAGCAACTTGTGATGTATACTACATACATAATTAACATTTTTACCTACTTTAACCTCTTTTTTATCAATTAAAAATTACCATAACTTAAACAAGTAAATCATATAGTATAAATATTTTCAATGGTATTTTTAATATGTAACTTATGTTTGTGTGTACAAGGGCAATGTTTCAAAAAAGGAATATTTTTCTGGCATAGAACTAAACCATAAATCAACGAAACACTTTTATTGAAATCGAATTAAACCAATAAGTATAGAAAAATAAGTGGAAAAAATTAAATGTTTGCAAAAATATATACAAAGTGGTTCGATTAAAAAAAAATCAATTTTAAGGAGACTCAGAATGCGCGCAACATATTTTTACCACTTTCCAACGACTACGAGTGTGTATTAAGTATGTCTGTAGATAGGCAACGCCAATCATATGCGTCAGTAACAAATTATTGTTAGTTATTCCCAGCAATTTTAGTATCTTCATTGCTCCATCCACATTCAATGTAACCGTTAACATCCACAGTGGGAAATTTGTTGTGCATGTGTATTGTATTTATCCATAAGCTCCTTTTTTTTTGTTGTTGTATACTTCAGAAGCCGCACGTTTCAAGCCCACAAAACAAACATTGATTCACCAAATATGTATGTGCGGCAATCCAAACTGAAATTGTTTCCATACACAAAATATCCTACCAGCAACAAAAATCATAGGGGGAAATGCACAAAAAAAAACACAAAACAAGGTAGGCATAGGCAGGGATTTTTGTCGATAAAGCGGGCTCTTAAGTAAGCAACAAACTCAGATCTGAGGACGTGGTGTGTGCTGCCGCGTATTAATGTGCATACATACATATATGTAGTATATATACTCGTACAACAACTGCAAGCAATTTTAACTCTTTAAACTTTAAGCTTCACGCTATTTTGCCTAAGTGATGGATTTTTCTTCTTTTTTTTGTTATTATCATTAAATAGTCCACTATAGAGTAATATACATAAATAAATTATTTTTGTTTGCTTCTTTGTTTGTTTTAACAGCAAAATAGGGAGATCAGTAACAGTAAATAAAACATGAAATTAACTAGAAAGAAACCTCGTAAATTACCAAGTAATTTTAAAAGCTAAATATTTACCTTCTAGTATGGGTGGTTGAATGAGAGGTCGCGCGCACGTTTTATTCGCCATTTATCGCTTTTATTTTTAGGTTTCGTTTAACTTTTGTTGTCTTTTTTTAAATTTATTTTCTACAAAAGTCATACCGCAAGCTCTTGGGCGCTGATGCGTACCACATTTGCCTGTGAAGTATGTTTTTGTGTATATGTTTTTCTAATGGTTATGTAGTAAGGTGGTCGACGAAAATCACTGAAAATGCTCAAAGGTATGTATAGTATGTAAGTATTTTTGGAAGCGTCTCGAAAGCAACAAAATATAATTTTTTTATACAAGCAGTTTTATATAAATATTTGTATGTAATAAAACAATTGCAAAAACAAAGAAAAACAAACAGAACGCAAGAAATACATGTGCATGTACAAATGTATGTATATAAAATAAAAATTTTCCAAAAAACTATTTTCAAATTATTTAAATCTGGAAAATGAAATTTCAACGCTGTTAACTTAAATTTTCTGTTCAGCAAATGTTAATTTCTGCAACTTAAGCCACTGATGAATAGCAAATAACAATAAAAAGAACAAAATAACAACTGAAGTGTTAAAGTAGGAAAATTAGTTCGGCTTTTGTTTTCTATAGCTCTTGAGTTATACGTCAATGTCTCGAATTAAAGAAAAACCAATAGAATTTATGTATTTCAAATGAAAATTAATTTTCGTTTTGAATTATTCACCATTAGGCACACATATTTACATATAAGCATGTATATTAGGGTGCCTCACCAAAACAAGGGGGCAGTTTTTCCAACGAGTTTCCAAAAAGATTTCCGCCAAAATATTTCAGAAAAATATTACAATTTACGTGTGCTGGACTGATTTGAAAATAGCATCAAAAATCTCATTATTTTAATATAATTGATACAATTTAAAATTTTTTTTTATGTACAAAAAAATTGATTTTTCCCCATTTTCCATTTTTTTTTTTTGTATGGAGGGTGATGCACCCTAATGCGCTTATGCATACAGCTCGAATACATATGCAAGTTACTATATGTATTCGACAACCATTGCTGAGGCTCCGGAGCAGGATGGAAACCTGCTTTATGGTCCGGAGACCCTGTAATGTGTAAGAAAAATATTAAGTTGCTATTAACCACTCTCTCAAAATAAACATTGGCCTTTTTTTGGAAATCTTTTCGTCTGCTATTTTTCATTATAATAATAAATTGTTTAATAAATGACGGTGCGTGCGTATGTGTCTGTTCACGTAGGCATGTATGTATGTGTGAATGTGCTTGTCATTGTTTGTTTGTCTCATTTTTTTCTTCTTATGAAAAGTGCTTTTCTTTCTCTTCGCCTTTCAACTAACTTTTCAAGACTTTGTAAATTCCTAATTTGTTTTTTTTTTTTTTTAAACATCATTTTGAATTTGCTAAAATACTCTACCGCAATTTATTACTGAAAATGTCCGCTTTTAACTACAATAGTTTTTTTGTTTTTGGTTTCTTCTTTAAAATCTAAATTTATTTTCATAGAAACAGTAAATAGTTATTCAATAAAGTTTTGTATTTATTATTATTATTTTTTTTTTGTAGTTATTTGCTTTTACAATTTAGTTACTTAAGTGAAAAATGTATCTATGTATGTATGTATGTATCTGTTCAGGTGTTGCTTGTTTGCCCTTGTTCTATCTTATCGGCTTTTAGCTAAGTAATCTTGCGCAAATTTTCCCACTACATTTAACGCGATTTTGTAGTAAAACATTATTAACATTATTTTGCTTTTATTTTGTTTTGTTTTTTGTATTCTTCACTGCATTTTTTGCTATTAAAAATAATAGTAATAATAAAATTCTCCTAATTAAATATGTATTTATATGTAAGTAATTACTTCAGTTGTTTTGCTTTTTTTTTGTTATTGTTCTTTTTCCGCTTCTTTTTGAAGCTGTATAAATTTTGACTGACATACAATTTCTGCTGCTTATGGTTTTTCCTCGTTTGCAATGTCTCTCTATTATTTTTTTCGCTTATTTTTCTAACTCAGCGATTTTAAAATTTCCTTTTTCATTTTGTTGCTCTCTACTATACATATGCGCTTCATTTACACGTACTCGTATTTTTGAAGGCAAAAATTTTGCATTTCTTTTGCTCTCAATTTGTCGTGTGAAATTTTAATTATTTTTAAGATTTAACTACTTTTGCGTTTAAGTTGATGATTTTTGCATTTTAATTGGTTGCTTCTACATATTTACATACATTTGTTTTTTTTTTTTTTGTTTTGCTTGTCGTTTAGTTTTTTTTTTGTGGTTATGCTTGTTGTTGTTTTTTCTTAGCTGAATGCATTGTTTTTGTTATAGAATTTCTTAGTTTACTTTTTCGGTTATATTGTTTGTTGTTGTTGCAATGTTTTTTTTTAATGGTACTTTCGCTTTAATTCACAACAGTGGTTAATGGAATTTGTCGCGCTCTCTTCGTCTCCTCGTCGGTGATTTTCTGTTCAATTAAATATTGCGCTTTGGCAATGGCACTCGGTTGACCAGTTATTGTTACAATTCGATTTCTAGTGCCAGGTGCGAATATGCCCTTTTTTGAAATTTGCACATTTGCGCCAGATACATGCTGAATTTCAACTAAACTACGACCATTTGGACCTGTAATTTTAATTTTTGTATTATTTGATTGATTTTTAAACACATATTTTTATGTATGTAGAAGAGTAAATGTACATAAAAAAAGGTGAAAATTATATATAGTTACGTAAGGTACAATTGTTCAAAACACAAAATCATAACTAAGTATGTTAGCGTGAATTAATATTTCTCTATGCAATTAAATTAAAATTCGTATCTAATTATGTATGATACGAATAAAGTAGGAATATTTATTAACACAATGTAATTTTTTTAAAAATGTGTAGTTCTGGAGTTAGGACAATGCTAAGATACAAAAAAATGATTTAAACAGCAAGTGGTGGTACTAAAGACATATGCCAAAATAAAAGAATGCATTAGTATATTTTATATTTAATATCCATAGTGGATTTATGTGTTAGCGGGAATGCTTAAAAATAATAATTAACTGCTAATAAAAGCCTGCCGCTAAACCTAAATGTTTGAAAGAAATTACTTACGCATACCAAAGCAAATCGAACAGGCAGTAGCAGGAGAACAGCTGATTTGAATTTTTTCGTGCCTTCGGTCTCTAAGCTTTCAAATTTTATTTAAGGCTTTAAACATTCTAGAGTCGGTGTTTGTTATTTTTGCACCAGCGTTATTGCCTGTTCGACGCACCTTCACGCATACATAAAAGTATTTACTCAAAATATATGTAATCAAATGAGTGTGCAGCGTGAATTGCTTTAAATATTTAGAAAAAAAAAACAAGTCACTACTTTGCAGCTATAAAGATTAAATACATGCTCGCTAAAACTCCACCTAGTCTAATGCTAAATATTTGCTGCTGTTGTTAACAATAGTGGGTTTTCTATTTTGGTTATATTATTATGTATGTATGTATCTACTAAAAATTAAAAAATAGATATTTCATGAGGTATTTTCGCTACTACTTATAGTCAATCCAAAAGGAACTACTCTGTTTTTGAAATGTTTGCGGAAATATTAAAGGACGCTATGCGTAAGCGACTGTGAATGGTTTTTGCTTAAGTTCGAAAGCTTTTTTGTTGAATGAAAGCTTAAAATGAACATTTTCAGCAGTTCAAAGGATATTTATATCATATGCCGGAGAAAAAGATAAAAAGACTCAAAAGACAACTTCAGTATTTTGGAAATCATCAACCAACAAACCACTTATGTATATGAAAGCTTTAAAAAGCTTCCATCGCGATTAATGCATGTACGTACACATGTTTTTGTCGTGACTGATCTTCATAAAATGTAATGGGCATCGCCTTGCCCACGAGAAAACGCAGAGTAAAAGCTCTCTCTGAACATCGCTGATATAAAGCTTAAAAAAGCTAAATACGCAACGTCGTCAGCGCAAAGGGGTGATAGACATCGCGAACATAGGTTTTTTAAGCTTTTATACACGCGGAAGGTAAAATCATCGCTGGCCACCGCTGGCAGTCTACTATACAAATTCAAATTTGAACCAAATCGGAATCCATTAGCCTATTAGAAACTTACAAGTTCTGTTAAGATACATTCAAGACCTTCAAAACTAAGTTTAATTTAAGTTGCAGCTTTGAAGCGAGGGTTTAAAAATCATCTAGGAGTTCAAGAGCAGAAAAAGCTTTTTAAACTTAATTCGAAGCATGTTCATGCTACATATTTAATAGAACTCGAACGCGGAAATAAAAGCGAAATTTAATAGTTTTGAAAGGCAAATAATATTTTACCTTGTTTTTATATAATTCAGTTTATAAGAACTATGAAAAATTGCTAGTTAAAAAAGTTCTCAAAGAATGGAAGTATGTATTTATGAAGCTCAGACATATGTAACTAAAATGTTAAAGCAGGATTAGTACAATCACGTTTAAAACAAACACCGCGAAGGAAGCTTTAATAAGTCTTCTATTCACTTTTTATCGGCAATAGGCAGCGCATTGTTCACTTGTGGAGCTTTCTTAGGCTTTCCAAGTGATTCCTTAGGACATGCGCAATGTAAAAGCCCTATCAGCGCATCCCGCGAAACCGAATTTCTTAAGCTTTCACAGATTTTATATCGACGCGCACCGAGTAAAAGCTGTCTTTGTGTGGTTTTCGCTGATATAAATGGTTTTGGTATACTTTTAGCTATAACTTTATACATGCGGCACGCATGGCAAAGCTTTCAAAAGCTCTCTGCAAAATTTATATACAACTACTAAGAAAAAAAGTCTATCGGTCGACAACACTTTTATATGCACATCTTCACAAAGAATAGCTCGCTTAAGGAGCTTTTTAGGGAAAGCTTTTTTTAATCTTCAGACTTTTTCGGTCCCGCAGAAGTGGAAAAAATTATATGAATTGAAAAATGTTTCGTACAAAAATTTGTCTACTCGCAAGGGCATGATAACTTTCCGCAAACAAAAATTATTCAAAAATCGACTGTCGATCACTTTAAATTACAAATCAATTATATATCTATACCTAAAACCCAATTAATTTAACCTTACCAATATGTATTTATCTGAAAACCGATTACTTCTTTAAAAATAGCTAACCTATAAATATACAAAAAAATATAGCACGAGTAACCACGGCGCTTAAGAAAACTAGTAAAGTGGAAAAGCAAAAACCGAATATGTACAAATATATATATGTAAGTATTCATGTATATTCGCTTTATATTTAAATATTTGTGTGAACATGCAAAAACTGCGCAGCGTGGTTACTGCATTTATAAGGCACTTTTCTAAAAGTAAATATCCGGGTGAGTAAATGTATGTATGTATGTATGTATATATTTTGTATGTATTTTATATAAATACAGTAAATATAACCAAAAGCCAATCCCTTTATAACTAAAACTAATAAAACTATTACATTAGGGCGGATCATTTTTTTTTTTACTATGCGCGTACAGCATAAGAGGATTTACGTGTAATTATAAGCAAATTTGCAGAAGAAACAATGGCTCTAAAATCAAATTGCGAAAATAGGTATCGAAGAAAATGTGAAAAATTTTACTGTTCCACCATCTGGTGGAAGTTTTAAGAAAAAGAAATGCATTTCTCATTTTTATACAAAATCTAAGCACTTCTTTACGACACTACAAACAAATTAAAAGAAAAAAACTATGTATTCGGCAAACCCGAATCTTATTTTAGACCCATGTTTTCTTCGACAAATTTGCTTAGAATTGCACGTAAAATCCTTCTAGGCTATACGCGCAAATTCGAAAAATAGCCCTATTGTACATATTAGTTTAAATTTATTTATATTTAGATATAAATTTATCTCAGTATTTTAAAAATTTCAAATTGTAAGATTCATTTTATAAGACTAAATATTAACCTGTGTGCGCACATGTCGTGACACTAATCTCTACACTGAGAAAAAAGTTTAGTTACGTCGACTAAGTAAGGGGATACGTATATTTCTCTCAACATACCGTATGTAGCTACGAAGTCTTGGTTATATGTATGTCAAATCTTGTGTTGATAAAAAACTATTTAGTCGAAATAACAAACCCTTTTCTCAGTGTATGTATGCACGTACAAATAAAGGTAATTAATCTACATATTTGCTTTTCGTGCTGGGAATGTTCCAACCATTACAGCGTGCATATGTCTTTTTACAAGGAATGATTTCAAATGTTAGCATGTATGGGTATAAATGCATATATATGTATGTATATTTGTATTTATGTAACAAAGGTATTTCTCGTTGTTTAAAGCAAAGAATTTTCTGCCTGAGGCCTGCACTATGCGTGGCAGATCTCTTGATAGCCATCGAAGCAAAGTGCGTCACAATGTCAATCTCGGAAAATTTCCGAGCTTTGCTTAGAGCTGAGGAGTGAAAAGTGAGTGAAGTGTTACTCGCTGTATTCTAATATCTAGATATTTATTTTATTACTCTGTGTATTGAATACTGATGCTCAGTGAGTATCAGTGGAAGTAGTGGTCCTCTACTAAGGA